AGTATCATTTCTTTGTTTAACGGTTGTACATAAGAAGACACATGAATAAGGATACAACTCAAACAAAGAATCTTATCCTCAAGACCACGTGTCATTCTCTAGAGTATCATTTCTTTGTTTAACGGTTGCACATGAGAATAAACATGAATATGGATACAACTCAAACAAAGAATCTTAATTCACCAGTCCACGTGTCATTTCCAGGTAAAGAGGTCTATATATTCTTTCCATTTCTTATAATATATATTACGGATGGGTTTCCTTTGTAGTTGAGAAGAGGAAGACTAAGAACTAGAAAAACAATTTCCTCAGTCCCATTCTCTCTCCACAGGAAGCCCATCAAAATGTTTTATTTGTTGCAGTACTTACGATGTGAAGAAGGAAATTACAGCTAATCCTCCCAGTAGAATGGGTAAGTATTGTAGATAAGTTATCGCCATGTTTGTAAACCTTAAGAAGGAAAATTTTTTAGTTATATGTAGTTATATTATGATCTAGTTGATATACACTCGATTGCAGAAATGTTGTAGTAAACATTTATACATATATCTAATTTATTCAGTATATTTAAAGGTTTCAAAGGTTTCAAAGTTTTTTATTTTTCCACACACGAAAAAGCAAAGAATTACAAATAGAACTTAAGAAAGAAGTGGAAAGGTGCAGGAGGAACAACACAAAAGGGGGTAACTAAGAAAGATCCTGCACCAAAACCATGAGATGCAAAACAGAAAAATCGCTTTATTTATTCTTTGTTTCATTCAATGACTGTCAAAATACTTTTTTCTTGTCTATTAGATTGTACAGATTATAAATCAGTTGGTTTTAAGCGTTGGAAATGGTTATTTTGTATTATGCATCTCATTAGATATTTGTAAAAAATTATGTATACTACAATGTTTCTGCAATCCAGTGTATCAAACAACCTATTTAGGTAATTAATTGTTGTGTATGGGCATTTTCAGGTAAAATCTAWTCAAATTTAAATTTCGATATGCAAATTCACCTGGGTAGTAGTCATACAATAGCATTCACTTAAGCAGCAGTTTTTTCCGCCTTCGCTTTGTTACCTATAGTGAGTTTAAGTTATCATCATTGATGTTGACAAAATGGGGCTTTTTGGTTAGATTTTCGCCGTCTTGGCTTGTTAGGCTTGTAATTAAACAGCTTCTCATTAATTCCATATAGGTAACTGTCCAATTATTTTCTTAATTGGACAGGTCTTGTTGATATGGGATTAATTAGGCAGCTATGTAATTAATAGGTAATGGGATTTCATAGTTCCCAATCAAGAAATAATTAGACTTGAAAAATTCCTCTGACTGATTCCTATGGCCTCATCCAATTTTGTCAGTCCTCGGAATTTTCCTCGTCCAATTATTTCTTAATTGGGCAGCAAGGAGTCCTATTACATATACTTATCGTTGCAAAACCTGAAGATTCAGCTTCTAAGTTAATTAGAGACACATCAAAGAGTGGAAAGTCTTTTCCATTTTTTCTCAAAGCTTGAAGTMAGGATATAGTGGAAAAGTATGAAAACTTTTTTATGAAAAAGGTGTCAATCAAAAACCATGTCTTTACCGGCCAGATATAGCATCTGGTTTTCAGCCAATCAGAGCGCGCTTACTATCTAAGCTATATTATAAACAATGACATTTTTTGAAACATTGTTTTAAATATGACAAAAGASGAGACTATATCCAGGAAAATTCATTTTGTGGCTGAGTGGTTTAAGGTTTGAGGTAAAGAATGAGATAATCATTTGGTGCCAAGGTTGCTGGGTTTGAATGAAGGAGAACCACTTGTGTGTTCGGAAACCTTTGACACACTTTTGGTAATACAACTCTTAGAGTGCCTATCACCCTTCTGACAATATTCACAGTATTGATTCTACATGCCTGGGGTAAGATGTTGAATAACCCGAAAAAGTTTCATAGTTTAAGTGTGGCTTCTTGAAGTTATAAGGGTTTTTCCATGTCATATGCTAATTCTGTGACGTATGAGGCATTAATGGTTATTTGTTGTTCCTTGTAAATTGAAACACTGGCTTCTATGTGAAAACTAGCTTGCCATAATTTCTATAATATCAATGGGGAAAACGATGATGTATTTCAAATTTTATTTATGTGTACCAGTAATGTTTTGTATATTAAATGATTACTCCTCATATGCACAGCATTATCATATGGCATAGAAAAACCTTTATAACTTCAAGAAGCCACACTCAAACTATACAGTGTAATTGTTTTCGGGTTATTCAAGATTTTACCCCATGTAGAATCAATACTGTGAATATTGTCAGAAAGGTGGTTTTGCACTAGAAAGGATGATACTATCAGCCCCTAGCTAGATTCGGGCTAATAAACCTCACATATAAATGTACTAAACATTCGGCAATATTTTTCAGACCAGTTTATCATTTACATGTCCTAAAGTAACTCATCTGTGAAGGCAGTAGATGATATAAATTAAATAAATTTTAAATCAGAAATTACCAATTTTGATTCCAAAATCCCAGAACAATTATTTGAAACATTATATGAAGTTCTAAAACAGTCAACAAATAAGGACTAACTGTGTTCATTTCAATAAAATTAATACTATCGATCTCAGAAAACTAAAATTGTGATTCTAAAATCCCAGAACATAAATTATATTTGATTCAGAAATGTAGGAAGTCCTAAAACAGTCAAGAAATAAGTGGTCAAAAATCCTTGCTATCTTCTGGGTGATGTGATTGAGCGCTCATGGTCATATCAACAATGTTTAAAATGAAAATGGCTCAATCACTTAGTTGATTTTGCAATGCGAGGATCAGCTCAATTTGATACATTACAACCACAGTACAAATATATAGTTCACATATATTGTCATACACATTACATTTTTCCGAATTTAATTCCAAGGGTCTTTCGCCCAGAATAACCTCGTTCCCTAACACTATAACTTATCTATATTTCTATATCTTCATGTATTTCATAAGTGCTACGCGGTCCACATATTCTCATATATTGTCATACACATATATATCTTTCCTATCAGGCCGATAAACCCACCTATTAAATGTGTCCTTGAAGTCATATGAGACTCGGTAGCATGTCACCAGAATCTCCAGGGCAGGGATTCTTGCCTGTTCAAGACTCAAATTTCAATTTTTTCTGAGTCTTTTAATCTGCAGCTGCATAAGTTGCTTCATATACTGCAAGGATCAGCTCAATTTGATGATTTTTTATTGTTATTTATGTCATTATCATCAAAAGTAGCTCATCTATGCAGCAGTAGATCATATGAATTAAATAAATTGACACTTATAAGTTCTTATGCAAGTTTTAAGAGGTCCTTGTAAAAGTGATATATTGATTAATGACAATTTTATTTGTCTTTTTGAAAATATAAATGACAAATTTTGAGTGGTTGATGCTAAAAAATATTGTCATCGATTTTAATCCAGAAGATTAAATAAAAAATTTGTAATTGTAGATTAATCTTTTTCAGAGATTTCACATAAAATTTATTCAAATCTATAAACAATCAGATGGGAGATTTCTGCTTTTTTTTTGGATACCAAACAAAGTTTATATAATTCAATATCAAACACAAAATACTGCACGTTTTACAATAGAACAAATAAACTAACAAAGAGTATAACCGGTTTGTGACACATGCAGGTCACATGATTCTACTAGCTTTAGCTGTTATATCACAGCGTGGGACAATCACAACAGAGCTAGGCTCCAAACTAGGTGAAAACCCAAAGATCGAATTAGAATTTAGGAGTTGATTTTTGAGGAGGGAGGAAAACCGGAGAACCCGGAGAAAAAACCTCGAAGCACAGGCGAGAACCAACAAATAATTATTCTACTCACATACGACATTGAGATCAGCAGGACTCGAACTCGGGCCACATTGGTGAGAGGCAGTGCATTAGCAGTGCACGCCACCGGTGCTTCCCTGAATCTAGGCACACAATGCAGTGAAAATTTCCAAGCATTTTCTGTTATYGAAAAATATTTTACAAAAACAAAGATAAAATATGCTATTTTAAAGAGATTTATTTAATTAATTAATTAAATTATTATTTAATTTATTTATGTAATTATATATCCTTCATTAGGTTCATTTTCATTTTTTTGAATAAAAGCTGTTTTATTTGAGCCAAAAGCCTGGAACTATAAAATATTGAGCTATGGATCAGAGGAAGTGTTTGCTGAGTGGCTTCTTCAATCAATATTGGGCTGGGAGATGAGAAATCAACTGGCAGGCCGGGAACTGAGATGTATTTTGCTGTTGGTGCTAAACATGAAAATGCATGACACTAGTCCAAGTACAAGACAAGAAGAAAATGTATTTTGTATTTCTGACAATGCAAGGAAGGCACATTTTAGTAGTTACTACTATTAGATAATTGGATATTTTCTATGTCTGTGAGTCCTACAAGTAGGGTTGTAGTTTTGATACCTGTGGACCCCATACATATTTGAATAGAGTTTGTTTGATGTGTTAATGTTCTCTCTCTTGCCACGAGGGTTTTTCTCTGAGGTTCTCTGGTTTTCCTCCCTCCATAAAAATCAACATGTGAGTTGAGTTTGTTTGATGTGTTAATGTTCTCTCCCTTGCCACGAGGGTTTTTCTCTGAGGTTCTCTGGTTTTCCTCCATTTGTAAAAACTAATGTATCCTATGAGAGTTGTATATATAAATCGTACACTATTTTATTTTTGCAAAGATATTAATTTTCACATAGGTTACTTTCCCCTTATCCACAGTTTTTTTACATGGTTCCTGTGGGACAAACTCATTCAGTTGAAAGATACAGTATCTAAACCAAAAATAAAAAAAGATTTTCAAGCAATAAGCTATAATAAGCTTATTAAACACATATAGGATACATAAGGTTTCTTAGTGTGCAAAAGTCTTATTTATCACTTAAAACACTACTACAGAGCTTAGAAAGTACTCATAATATATCAGAGGGTTATTTTTTAGCGTAAAGAGATAAAAAATTTACAAAAATTGTTCTAATACTAGAGGAAAGATAGAATAGAATGATACAAAATTAAAACAAATATTAAAATCATACAAAAATTGTTCTAACTAGTAGAGGAAAGATCAGACTAGAAGCAGCTGTTTGTAACAGAATTTGCAGGTACAGTTTAGGTGGAAATGAAAATAGCTTAAAACCGTTTGTTAATCTTCGATAAACTGTGCCTACAAATCAATTAAGATAATACTAACGTCTGATACAGTTGTTGTAGAAAACTTATTTTTTATGAGATCAATTTTAAGCAATATAAAATATATTTACATCACACACATTTCGCAATAAAAACCGTGACTCTTCGAAGTAAAGATCAAGAAAGCAATTGCAAACATTCTTTATACGAATAGTTTTAACCCAATCTCAGTATATTATTCACAGATCTATCAAACAGAAGCGAAATATTTCTTTTAAATATTCCAGCATTGAAATTTAATAAGATATATGTACAGGAAGAAGTTTAGTCAACGCATCGACTGAACAAATATAAAAATAAGCTGTCTAAAAAATACGTAATTTTTTATCCGATCGCTATGAATTTCCTTCAATTACCTTTATACCTCAATGTATTATCTATTTCTCTAGTTATTAGCGCTGTTTGAGTTTTTAAAACACTTACTTTTTGGGTTAATGAGCGGTGTTTTCGAATCAGCTTTTGGTAAGTTTCAGTCGTCCTGGGAATCGTACACGATCACGTGAATTATTACAGAAAGTTAAATATAGAATACCAGGAGCGCAGTATATTATGGGATACTTCCTTTATAAAAGGCGGGAAAATATTCAACAACATTCCGAGAAAGTATAAAGGCTTAGAAATAATGTATTTATGACAAGGAAAGGCGTTTTTTATTGGGGGAGTGCTGGGGCTTCAAAGGGGAGGATAGTAATAATTTGAACTTTTTGAAGTGCGGAAACCTTTATATTTTGACAAAATTAAAAGCTGTTTCCTTCACTGCTGTTGCATTTTTCTTTAGCTGCTCCCGCCTTTCCCTCGTTTGCACCTGGGTACCCCTGCCTTGTTGATCTAACGTGAAACGTTTTATTTTGGGGGTATCCAGGGCCGTAACCAGGGGGGAGCACAGGGTGGACGTGCATCCCCCCCCCCCCCCCCCCATGGTCAAGGTCCGCTTTTGATTAAATCAAGAGTACGTTCCATGGGCATATTGTACAATTTTTAGAAGGCTCATGACTTTTTTACCTTGTGAAAG